TGATGATTCATACCAGCATGAGTATGCATTTTGCTAAAATCCGTTGCAGTGGCGTGTCTTGGTCTTCTCAGCGAAAAAGCATCGGACGTATGGCTTGCGTGGTCCAGCGCCACTGAACATCGACCTGTGCGCTGATATGTCAGGAAGCAGTAGTGACTGAAAGCCGATATTCAGTTCTTCGATCGCGTCATCTTGTCCGCCCAATTTCCAAATTGTTAGTTAAAACTACAGTGTTCGGGTCGATCCAGATGGACATGAATTCACGTGCTAGAGCAAGGAGGCCTGGTAACGAATCTAAAGCCGTTTGCTTTGAATTATTGGCCTTATCGTCCACACACTGTCTGATAATCGTCTTAGGAGGGTCTGACGTCACAATTGTTGTCATATGTTTGGCTGAACTATGCTAGATCTTTCGTCCTTAAGATGCATATCTCCAGACACAACGCACCTTAACAAACGTTCGTGTGCCACCCGAGCGACCATTTACTTCGCTACGGTAAGTCCTGTCTAAAGGCTGTCAACTAGGCGAGAAACATGCAGTCTTTGTCAGATTTTTATACTTGATGCGGTCACAGTGGCATCCTGCAAATCACTCACATGCTTTAAGTGCTCTTGAAGAGGGCAGTCATCTCCATGCATCGCTTGTGCCACTTCCCTCTCTGTGCCAATCAGCACCTGCTTTTTATGCGCTTTTGCATATTTGTGCAAATGCAAGAGTACATACTGGCAGGAAATTGCCTATTTATGTTTGTATGCGTGTTTGTCTGTCTGTTCGCCTGTTTGTATTCGCGTTTTGTCATTCATTTTTAGCTCGGCAATCGGAGAAGCTACGAAGCTGAAACTTTTAAAGCATATACCCGTCTCGCACACGACTCTCCCGTCTTAAAATTGTTCATACACGCCTGGTTGTCTCGTATGGGCGATCAAAAGGAAACGTGTAAATTTTTTTGGCGAGAAAACGATTTCGGGAACCGCACAAAATAAGGAGCTATATGCCACTGTGCAACACAAACATTTTGAATTCAGCTTTTAAAGCACGCTTAGATCGTGTGTGCGCGCAGTTGAAAGTTTAGTTTGGAACACTGTTGACACCCAATTACCTCGGGAACCAGACTGAGCAGAAAGCAGTATGAGAATGCTTGCAGCTGTTGTGTGAACCAAACACCGTAAGGTGAGCTTCTGTCTAGGCATGAGTCCTGCGCACCGGCGCATTAAATGTACAAACGGCAGCACCTCAATTAAAACCCAATAATACAGGCAATATCCCTACAAGATGGAGTCATGCAAAAATGTACGATCGTACCGGCAAGCCTGGCACGCCGCTAAGTGGATTTTTTCCGTCGTTATCAGTGTTTTACGCCAAGCATCGTTGCTTTCAACTCGCAGTCTTTCCGATTTAACATTCAGGAGGAGCGTAATTGAAAGAGCTAGTAGCACTTTTGTATGAAATTTCCGACTAGCGGTTCTGCCAATATTCACTTCTTGGCTGATGTGCTTATAACTAAGTCAATGTTATTTACAGCCCTGTCGCTGATTTATCTGGCGTCTTGGATCTGCTACCTCTTCAATGCATTGATTTTCAGGCCACTTCAATACTTTAAGTTACTACAACATCCAGTGCATTTTACAAGTGTAGCTTATGATCAGGAGCCTCAGCTGGTAGTTGCTACCAGCAGGCGTTATTATAACCTACTTCCGAGTCTTCTGCCATTCACAGGTAGGGATTCCCTCTCCTCGCTAAGGGCACAGGCACCAGTGCTACAGAAGTCCGAGTCTAATGCTAAATGTGAAGAAAACTCTCTTGTAGCTCCCCGATCACTTCTCTCAGGAGCCCCATTGTCCTTCCCCCACCCTGTTTTCGCCGCTAGGAGCTTCACTCCCCGTCTCTTCCGGTCGTTGCCCCGCCACCTCCCTCCCCCCTCTGCTCCTCAGCAAGGCGTCCTGGGTCCGCTTATGACCGCAAATTGTAATTGATTTGCCCAAAGATGCTCAACGTTCTCTCATTTCGGCTTACGGAACACCTCCTTCCCGAGACAAATCGTAAAAGCTTAGAGAGGTCGATGTGATGCTTTGTGAAGTTGAGAGTTCCACCAAGTGGTGTTGCTGGCGATTGCTGTAGGGCAGTATTGTTCGTCGTCTGAGCACCTTGAATGCTCGTCGTTTTCTTAACATCAAACACTCCTAAAAATTTTGTTGAGTGCGTTGTTATCCAGTATTGGCCTGGAAGTATTAGCTGAGCAAGTTTTCCAGAAGTTTTAGTTATGACTGTTTGTTCTTCTGTCGTTTTGAAGGTGGATGACAGTTTTGTCCGCGTCAGTAATGCCGTCTTATGACACACCGCTGCCGTCGTTGAATGCTGCTTTACGACTGGAGTGTTGGTATCATGGCTCACTGACCCGGGTACGATCCGAATATCTTGTCCGTGATGAAGGCGATTTCCTCGTACGTGTCTTGATAAATAATCTTAACAAAGTAGTACTTATTTCAGGGCCGACTGCATTCATAGGACAGACAGGCAGACACAGTCTCGCATAAAAACGAATTTTTCAATAACTGTGTCACTTATTCACGGATGCATAGATCACTCTTACCGAAAAATCAATAACCCGGCAGTGACAAAAAGGTGCTGATGGAGAGAGTGGATGGCACGACGCTATCATTAGGCATCAGGTTCACCAAGATAGTACGGGACTCGCATGTTTCAAAGATGCATTCACACTGTAACCCTTTTCATCCTGATGCGCTTGCTTCCCTTGTGCTGGACTTCTTTATTGCTGTGCGTGACGTGCGCCACCAGCCGTTTTTATGCGTTTTTGCTGTGCAACGCTATAGCAGCGTTATAGCGCTGCTACAGCCAGCAAAAACGCATATTGTCGAGAGGCTGTCTGTGTATGTGTATGTGTTCGGGAAGCGAGTGCACTTTATCACCCACTTTAATCTCAGCAACCAGGAAAACTGGGAGGTTCCTTCCCCGTGTGTCATCCTCCCGTTTCAAGATCATTCCCCATACACGTCTAAACCCCGCGTACGGGCCCCCCACAGAAATATGTTGGCGGGAAACGATTTCGCGGACCAGGCAACGTAGAAGGCTGTAACTTTGCAGGAATATTCTCTATGCACGTGCGAGGTAAAAGTTCTAAACTTAGCCCTCTAGCTCCCCAACCACAGCCTCAAGCAGCTCCTGAATCCAAAAATCGTTATCAACTCGGACCTGAACCGCAGTTGCGTGTGCATATGAACGTGCATTTTTACCAACTCGGACCTGAACCGCAATTGTATATGCAAATGAACATGGATTTTTTGGAAAACGACCGTTTGAGCAATACTTTCAATTCTTCAATGGACTGAAAATTTGCATATTTTCAAAAATTCGTTCGCAACTCGTGTATGTAAATGAACGCGCATTTTTTGAAAACGATCACCCGCGCAATACTTCCACTTTTTATGCGTTTTTGCCTATATGCAAATTGCAAAAACGCATATTGGGACGACCCTGTCT